TGCTGGAATTTAATCAAAACATTTAACTTTTTTCCTCAGTCCTTTTAAAGCCCAGAGCTGCTGTTTTGCCGTTCCACATGCTTGCGGGGAAGCTGGGACGCGTAGCATGCATAATCGGGGTGTTTTTTTTCCCCTCAATGCATCTTTTAGTTTTAGCAACATTGCATTCTAAGAGATCCACATCCTTTTTAGAGAGTGATAAAGAGTGGAAGCAGGGCGATGTCAACACAAGATTTTGTTAATAAGAATATAAGGTACAGAAAAGGAGCTCTAATAAATTCCTGCCTGCCTCTTCGTTGTAGCTCCAACTTTTTCTTATGTTGCAGCTGCTAAGCAACAGGCCATAACCAAGTAGCTGGATGACAATATAACAATAGATAAACACCCACCTGAAAGATATAGACCCACTCACTCTGATAAGATATATATACTCCTGTATTAGCGCAGGGAGATACTAAGGCCGGGTTGTTAACATGCCTTCCATGAGATTTGTGACACTGCGCTGAAGGAGCTTGCTGTGTAGCTTTTAATTACTTGTATCAACAGTAATTTGTTTAAAACCTTGTGTTCTGGATAAGTAGATCACTTACTCATGCACAGAAGGTGCCTTTTACTTGGCATTTAATTGATGAGTATAGACTAAGAAGGTTTTAGATCGTATGTAATTAATGCTAATTAGGATTTAAGGCTTCTAATTTCACGTTTACGGCTGGTTACCTCTCAGCTTGCAGTTTTTCTTTCAGACGCTGAACTTGGAGCATGCAGACTCAGATGGGTTTGCTGGTACTGTTCCACAATAAACAAAAACAAACACGGCGATCTCTGAAAACAGATCCAGGAGGAAAACCCATACGTGCCTTTCGGCTGTGACATACTGTCATCTGTTCTGGGGGATCCAAAGGTGTTCTTGGGCTTGAAGGGAGATTTATGGTCTCAAGAGCCGATTCTGTGCCTCTGCCCAGTGGGACATCACCAAAAAGGCTACTGTGCATCCTCATCCTCAGAATCAGAACCAAAGCTGCAGAGGCAACGTTCACTTTTTCTTCTTCTCTAATCTGGAACAAACTTCCAGAAAACTGCAACCTTATAGTTATGTTGATTCCCAATGCTTCTGCTTAACAATTCGGGTTATATTTGTCCTTGGATTTCCTTTCCTCTTCTCAAAATGTACAAACCTGAATTTGGTCAGTTTTTTAAAATTTTACTCAGGCTTTCATTCGCTCAATAACGTGAGTTGAATAAGTCCAGGTCCTGTCAGGGACGTTTATTAAAGTTTAAATAGTTGAATCAGCTCCGCTCTTCTCCAGACATTAGTCAGTTAGTTATTTAATATTTATAAATAGGTACTTTGACTCAGAGGCGGCGAAATGTTCCCTGGAGTCTTGTAGGCGTCGTTTCTAGTAATGCAAATCAGAGAAGCCGTTTTGCAGTCATTTTCATGTCTCCCAGCAGCAGATTAATACCCACTGACAGCTTTGTTAATCCTAATGTCTGACAGAAAACATTTACAATGTTTCAGTTTTTCCCTTCTGCTCTTCCAGACATCTCCTGGATTGAACGTATTGTTTTCTTTTTATGTTTCTGGAATGATTTGAGTGCTCTAATTTTAGTGAAGAAAACAAGCTGATAATATCTATCGGTGCAACAGCTTGTAAAGGTTGGTGGTGGTCATATTTCATCCAAAAAACAAGGTACAATTACATTAAAAATGATCACATTTGATTTTCTGTCATGCATCAAGCTAATTTTGACCTGCATTTAGAGCTGCTGAGTTAATTCTTATATAAAGAAATAAGAGCTGTAAATAAAAATGTTTACACCTTATATTTTCCACGAGGAAACCGGTTGCTTGATGATCCTGAATGCATGCTGAATTAAAATTACATCAACTTTGTTGATTTGAGATTAGGGTTACTCATGAATGCAGAAACGATGCACTTTAAAAACCTACTGTAGATTATTTTGTTTGCTCTAAACCATAGCTGTCTGAGGTCGAAACCTCATTTATGCACAATGCACCAAAGAGGAAATTAACTACCGAGATCTCAAGTTGTTCGTCAGGTTGAGCAAAAAAAAAATTTCACATTCCAGCACTCAGGATGACGAACAGCCTCCATTGTTCTCGGGTGGAAGTTCCTAAAATCAAAAACACTAACAACTTTCTGATTTATTCTTTGTCATTATTACTTTTTTGTAAAAAACAAAAACTATTAGTAAACTTAAGTGCAGCAGTCCTAAAAAAAAGCTTCAAAGGAAGATTTTGTATAAAACCATCAGATTATTCCTGAGCTTAAAACGATAAACCATCAGCATCACCACTCAGCTGATCAAGAGGAAGTTTACTCTGTTTAAAATGCTTAACCTCGTGAGCCAACGGTCACAAATAAGTAAATTTGCGTGCATGCCGCCCTTTGGAAAGCCAGACAATTTTCAGCATTTTTAACAAATATTTTGACATTTTCTTGCTAAGAAAAACCTGGCTGTCATTTTACATCTCGGATGTTGGCATTTTCAGAGGGCGCTTTTTAGAGCCACTTTATCTGTGGCTACTTACTTATCTTGGTAAACTATTCCAAATTATACATTCATAATACATAATACAGTTTTTTTTTTCCTTTTTTAGTTGTAGATAAATTCTGCAGCTTCAGAGGAAATGGCTTTCTAGCAGAGATCAGCTTCATGACATAGTGAAATTATCTGCGGGCCCCGGGGTGGGGTGGATCATTTCCTGTATTGCCCACGCTCGTTGGGAGATCCTCGCGCATGCATGCGTGTGTGCCTGTGCACGCCGACACTCGGTAACTCCCCTCCACCCCGTGTGGTGTGTGTGTGTGTGTGTGTATGTTTTTTGTCCTTAAATAGTAGTTTTGTGTGAGGTAAGACCTTTAATGGGGAAGTGATGCTGTGATGAGGAAACTGAGCGCTCAGCTCGGCTTACCACTGACCGACTTCAGCCGAGAACGGAACGATGGAGGGAGCAGGAAGAGTGAGATAAGGAGTGAGAAAGATGAGGAAACCATATCAAAGGAAGTGAGTTAGATTTAAAGAGGGTTGTGCCACAAAGCCAGAGTATTCACAGCGCAGAGTCAAATTTGGTCCAGTTTGATTCAACGCTTAAACAGCAGCCGTTCAGGAATGCACAGCTGCCAGAGGTTGATAGATGGCTTCCTTATTGTTACACAATGCACCGATTAGAGACCAACATCATTCTTCTTTAATAGCGTCCCCATGTTACCCGAGCTCCAGCTTCAGTTATAAAAGCTGTTTTCAGAAACTAAACTTCAGTCGGTCTCGGTGATTTTTACCTGAAGGCTGAACATTTTGAAGCTGGTGCGGCTTTTCTGCTTTTACACTGAAAATTGGAACTACAGCTGCTCTAAATAGGAGTTCCTGTGGTGATTTACTGATTGCTGATTGTCCAGTCAATAATGACCACAACCTAACCAGTCTATTTAAAGCGCATGCCTGAAGATTTGAAGTTACTTTTACATTTCAGTTATTCTACTTTCCAAAAATGAAAATAATAAAACCTTTGTTCCCCTTGTGGCATAGAATAAACTTTTTCTCCTTCCGTGATTTTGCGAAAGGTTGTCTCTGCATTTATTTTCTTAAACTACTGACAAAGTTTCTGTACTTCAACTACTGAAATACAGTCAGAATCAGAAACATCAGGAATACTTTTTGGATCTTTCTCCCTTTATTTTTAATTTAAAAATAAAAAGCTAATTAAAGTGACTGGCAAGCAAATTAAAGCACTGAGAAAAATCTGAATTTTTCTGAAGCTACGTTTTAAATAAAAACTCACCAAACTACGATGCATGGGGGATTAAAAAGTGTATGGTTATATTCAGAAACAATATTGTTACTGATGGACTGCTGTAAATACTTCAAACATCAGTTTTGGCTGCAGTGCAACACTTATTGGTCGTCTTCATTAACATTTCTCAATTATCTTCAGCTCGATGCTGTCTGGAGAAGAAATTCTGTGTAGGTTAGGTCGTATTTTTTGGATCATTGATCTGGTTTAAGACGCAATGAAAGCTCATCTTCAGTTTAATCAAAGAGTTCTGCAATTTCAAATAATTAATAATCCCATGTATTCTTAAATGGTTCATAGAGTCCAAGGCATCGTAGACCTAACACCATAAACGGTGGGAATGAGGTGCTTATTTTTTTATTTATTTTATTTCCACCTCTCCATCCATCTTTTCATTCATGTATCCTATCCCTCTCATCCATATTGGATAGGAAAGTTTCTTTCTTCTCATTTGTTAGAATGGGATAAAAAGCAGAGAGATTGAGTCGATAATGACTAGAGCACTTTCTTGCTAAAGAGCTTTTTCGATGTTTTCTAATTAGTTTGCAGTAGCTATCTGGGCCGTGTGGTAAATAGGGAATCTGTCCTCGCTGTGTTGAGGGGACTCATCTCACATGGAATCGACTGTTTTCAAAAGGTTATGAGCAGACAATGTGCTCATTGATCAAAGACAGACTGAAGCAGGCAGACGGAGGAATTAGTCACCTCCTCTGTCTCAGCCTTGGGTTAGGTGTTTCTCTGTTTGTGTGCTCAGGGAAAAGCTGCTCAGTTTCATTCAGACTATCACCGATGCCGAGATGTTTCTGCGAGAAAGCAGAAAAATAAACCCTCAGAAGTGGCAGCAGGTGATTCTGGTAGTGCCGAGTCTGAGTGAGTGGTGGCTGTTGTTGGGTGGGCTCTTTCACCCAACACCTCAGCTGTAGATCAGGATGCGGTTTCCTGCAGGTGTTGTGAAGGTTCCCACACATTTAGAGCACAGAAGTGGTTGGTCATGATTCGCACTTTGCAGCATGATGTTACTTCATGTGTTCTGCTCCGTTATGTAACGGCTCAGCTGCTAGCTGTCAGCGGTGGTGAGTCACCAGGGTTTTAATAAAAACTGACAGGAGGAGGAAAATGGAGAGAAAACTTGCTGTTTTAAAAACACACTTCACAGCCTTTGCTGTATATTTGTTTGCTTGTTGCTAATAGCTGCTGCATGGTCAGTCTGATTGTTTCCCATGTTTTTCAGGATTCGATAAACGCTCTGGTCCTGGATTTGGACTACCCGGCACTACGAAAGAACAAAAACATTGAGACCTTCTTAAACAGATGCGAGTAGTTTTATAATTCCTTAATTAAAAGCCTTGAACAAAACTTTATAAAGTGACTTGATCTTTATCTTCTGTGAATTTTTATTCCAGATGAGAACATTATCAGGGAGCTTCGAAATCTTCAGATGAAGTCTGAAGACTTTGAAAAAGTTAAAATCATCGGGCGAGGGGCGTTTGGTGAAGTCCAGTTGGTGAGTATTGATCTGCTGAAGACATGAATAGCTTTATATTACCATAAACTGCTCTCTAAGCAGTGATGATGACCACAACGTGCCTTCATTGTGGCTTGTATTGAATGAAAACTCAAAATTCTGTTTGTTAGTGAGTTAGAATATTACATGACACTAATTAATATTCCTTTAGAAATGTCAACCTACTGAAATAGACAAAAGCTTGAATTCTGTCTATCGTGCTTTACATTCTGCAGCATTTAAATAAAACGCAAATTTAAATGAAGACGGTGTAGGAAGCCAAAGTTTAAGAGAATCTTTAATCCATCATCACTTTCCATTTCATCTCTGGATAATCTGAGGATTTCACAACAAACCACCTCCTATAACACTTACTTTTCTGCTTTGGACCTCAAAAATGTAATCAAGTGGAAAAAACAATGTACGCAATTAAAATATGAATAACAAATAATTACTTATGTGTAGTAATTGAATAAAAAGTTATTTAGCTACTCATATTGGTGAATAAAAAATAGTAAGAGGGTGTGGAGTGTTTATCAATGAGGGAGCAGGGAATGAAGGAAGAGGAAGAATGTCAGGAGGAAGGGATGTCGCATGTTATTAAACCGATCAGCTATCTTTCAGTGGATATCGAATGTTCTCCAACTTCAGAAAAGTCTTTGTGTAATTGAGCCACTGAGTGCTGGAAGGAGCTTTAATTGACTTCCAGCGAAGGAGCAGACGGCGTCTTGCCAGTAAGAAAATTAACGCTAAAATGTCTAATTGTTTCGAGGTAAAGCGGAAGTCCAATTACAGCAACATGTGGGGAATGAATAATGGTCATTGAAAGCATCTTTGAAATGATATCAAATAATTCTGCCATAAGTGAGCAAGTAGGAAACAAGAGTAAAACATATGGGTTAAGTTGCAAATTGAGCCATGGAGATTTGTCACAATTGTTTGTGGAATTGGAAAAGATTTGTGACAGTTGAGTTTTAGAGAAATGGACTCAGAACTGAACCCCAAACTGTGCAAGTGAACCCAAGGTCAGCCTTGACTTTAGTAACTGATGAGGAATCAAAAGACAAAAATTCATTACAAATTTTAGAGACGAGCAACTTTTGGAGCAAAATGATACGGCTCATCTGCACTCTCACATCGATTCCTTTGAGATCATATGTTATGCAGGACACACCAGCCACAGTGGGGATCTCCGGAGCTCAGACACTCTCCACAGGTCCTTTACTGCTCACAGTATTCAAGAGGAACCTGGGTAACCTGTCTGTCAGATCCGACATTGAGGAAGTTGCAGTCCAGAGAGAAGGCCATCCTTTATGACCGAGATCGTCTCATACTGGTGCCCACAAAAGCCACACAGCTGGTTTCAGATTGTTTTTTATTGTGATTGTTCAGGTCCGACACAAACCGTCCCGGAAAGTTTACGCCATGAAGCTGCTGAGTAAGTTCGAGATGATCAAGCGCTCCGACTCGGCGTTCTTCTGGGAAGAGAGAGACATCATGGCCTTTGCAAACAGTCCCTGGGTTGTACAGGTGTGAAATATTCAACATTTTCACTTCCTTCTAAGAATGTCTGAAGCTCGTATGTTTGTGGATTTGATTACAGCAGTGTCTTCTGGATCTGTTTGACTATTTTCCTGTTTAGTTGTGCTGTGCCTTCCAAGACGAGCACTACCTCTACATGGTGATGGAGTACATGCCAGGAGGGGACCTGGTCAACCTCACCAGCACCTACGACGTTCCCGAGAAATGGGCCAAGTTCTACGCAGCAGAGGTGGTGATGGCTCTGGACTCAATCCACTCCATGGGATTCATCCACCGCGACATCAAGCCGGACAACATGCTGCTGGACCAACACGGACACCTGAAGCTGGCCGACTTCGGGACCTGCATGAAGATGGACTCTGTGAGTCGGCTCGTTGCAGTTCACTGACGGCACTTTCTGTTCCTCCAGCTGCATCAGTCCAAGGTCTTTGTAGCTCATCAGGATAATTATGCAGTGAAATCAAAACAAAAGTGGGTTTTGTTTTGCAAATATGCAAGCTGAAATTAACTGTGGCGGTTATTGTTAACCTCTGTGTTTTCGGTTTTGATTTGTACAATTTTTAAGTAAAAAAAATTTATAAAAAAAGCAAATTAGTCTCATGCAGTTCTGGTATGAATTGCGAATAGAAAAGATGAAACACTGTACAGTTGTCTTTAGGATGGGATGATTTATGGATGATATTCCAAGCCACCTCTATACATGGGGAAATTGTTCAGTATTTGCTATATTTCAGTAATTCAATGTAAAACGTAAACTCGTATAAATTTGTCACACATTTACCTCTGTCAGTTTTGATTATTATTGGCTCACAATTAATACAACCCTAGAAATACAATTTCTCGGAAACATTTTTTATTTTATATCAGTCTGTTGAATATTGTTAGTATAGAGTATTTTCACTTACCACTTCTGCATGGACTATCCCTTTTTATTAGGGTAACTTTTTTTTTTTTTTTTTTTTTACCACAATTTATCCTTCCACTCAACTTTATATTCGTGTCAACTTGGACGCAACATTGTCAACAACCAGCTTCTTTAGCAGTGGCCTTTGGTGGCCAGTCCTCCTTGGAGAGGAAATCATTGGTGCCCTCAGCAGATTCCCCCATGTCTTTGTAGCCTGTAACAAAAAGTTTTCTGTATTAAATCTTTTTTTTTTTTTTTGTTTTACTGTTCCTGTGTAATATCCTAATTCATGAGAGAGTGATATTTGGTGTTCATTTATGTAACATCATAAACAATAGAACTGATTATAAAATAGGACTTAAAATACCGTTCTGTGTTCATTGTTTTAGTTGGTTGTTCCTACCTTAAAAATTAAAATCAGAACGTTTCCACAAAAAAACAGAGAATCAAAACAACAAAAATACATGTCAGCTGTTGGATTCCCAGTTTGCGGATCTTACTCGGTTATTTTTGCTGCTGCAGACGGGGATGGTCCATTGCGACACAGCCGTCGGCACTCCGGACTACATCTCTCCAGAGGTGCTGAAGTCTCAGGGAGGAGATGGGTTTTACGGGAGGGAATGCGACTGGTGGTCCGTAGGCGTCTTCATTTTCGAGATGCTTGTGGGTGAGTGGCCCCTTTCATCGTCTCATTCATATCTTGAAAGGACGTGAAAGTGTTTGTGTTTCATCACCGCCTGCTGCCTTTCAGGCGACACTCCATTCTATGCCGACTCTTTGGTGGGAACGTACAGTAAGATCATGGACCACAAGAACTCCCTAAACTTTCCCGACGATGTGGACATCTCCAAAGATGCCAAGAGTATAATCTGTGCCTTCCTGACTGACAGGTGGGGAACAATCAATTTTTGTCTTTTATGTAAAATTTATTCCAAGTTCATCACTAATACCAATGTTTTTGTTTTGTTTTTGTTTTTTTTTTAGAGACGTACGGTTGGGCAGAAACGGAGTGGAGGAAATCAAACGGCACCCGTTCTTCAAGAACGACCTGTGGACGTTTGACACCATCAGGGACAGTACGAGTTTCAAGCTTTGCTCTCCTCTCACTTTCGTTTCCAGAAGTTTTAATTTTTCCCCCACCCCCTTTTTTCTGACCAGCTGTCGCCCCGGTGGTCCCGGAGCTGAGCAGCGACATAGACACCAGTAATTTTGACGAGATCGAAGACGACAAAGGCGATGTCGAAACATTCCCCACACCTAAGGCTTTTGTCGGAAATCAGCTACCGTTTGTTGGCTTCACCTACTTCAAAGAGGACCAGTAAATCCTCCTCGTTCTCTCTGATTGTCTCTAATTGTTTTAGAAACTGGCCTCCTACTTTAACCACATGTGATTTTTGGTTCTTTTTTCCCTTTTAGGTTGTTAAATTCTGCCAACAATTCCTCAGTGGCACACGATAACGCCAAAGGAGAGGTAAATACTGATAAATGCACAGTGATGTTAACAGTGGTAAAGGATTTTAAATCATGTGCGTTTTCTAAAAGTCTTAAGATGAACTAAACAAAACTGCATTTACTTTTCAAGACAAATGGAAGAATCTTGAAAAGAACAGAAGGTGTTTTTAATTTTTGATACATAAATAAGTATTTAATACTTTATAATTTATTAGTTTATTGTTTGAGATGCTGTGAGATCCACATAATTCAAATGCAAGCCAAAAATTATAGTATATTTTCTTATTATTATGACTATATTAAACAGGTGTAACTTGGTTAAAATAGAATATTCTCAAAATTAGATCACTAGAGTCAGAAAGACAAATCTTAACCCTTTAACTCTGACGCTTTGGGTTAAAGTGTTTTCCTGTATTTCCTGGAATGCAGACACTGTAAAGAATAAACTTTTTCTTTTTGTGGTTAAAATACATTTTCCTGGACTGGTCAAGGATGTCATATCAAACTTTATATCCATAATAGTGGATTAAAAAAAAAAAAAACCTCATTGCTTTTATCCTCCCTCATATTTCTGAGGTCCTGTCAGTACCCAGAGTTCTCTAGTAACTGCACAGATTTCAGTCATGACTGGTTTTACTGATTAGCTTTCTAATCCCACATATGCAGCTCTAAACAGCGGACAGTCCTCTGGGGATCAAAGTGCAGCCTTTATCTCGAATGTTTGAGTGCATTTCCATTTGGTGTTGTAAAAATGTTACATGGGCATTTGAAGGAAGCCATGACTACAATGAGCAGTTTATTAGAAGGTTTTATTGGTGTACCTCTGCAGGTAATAGGACTGCTTTGACCTTTCATTAATGCAGCCTTTTACAAGAGGTAAATGACGAACATGAGAAGAAAAATCCACTTTATCAACTGTTTTTTTTCCCTTCATAAAGTTAACCACCTCTATGCCAAACACACGTGGATTTTATTAAATTTTTTTGCAGGAAAGGTCAAACTCAAAAGCTTCATCTGATCAAAGCACAGTTCCAGTCAAAGCCGTTGCATCATTTAGCTTACTTCCTCTTTTTTAGATTTGTGATGGTAAGGCAGACAATGCTTGTTCCTGGCTTTTCACCCAAACAATCAGTTTGCATGTAAATAGTATCTAATGGTTGCCATGGAGATTTGGTGACTCAAAGGCCCACCTCTTCCCTCCATTTCTCCAGTTGTGAGTTTTAGAAGTTGTTTTGTCTGACCTCTTCGACTTTTATTTATTGCTCATTGTTAGCTGTAAATATAGTTGATGTTCTTGTGTTTTTGGATTAGGAACATCATTATAGAGATTATTTAGTTAGTTTTAGTCCTGATCAGTGTAGATTAAAATAAAGTATTTTCTAAGTTATTGGACCAATGTCACTGTCAACAGCCTAAATCACCTAAGCGCTTGTTTTGTTTTTGTTGCGATTCAGGAAGTTGTCTCTTGTCATGTTGGTCTATCTGTAAGACAGTTTAACAAGAATCTAAATATTTCTTCTAGAATATACAGATATTTCTGTAGATGATAAGCAAAATGGCAAAATAGGCTGTTGTGCTTTTTGTAAATAGGCACCAACGGAAACAAGAAAAGGACTCGATCCAAGATGGAGCCTTGGGGTATCCAACAGTTGCGCAGTGCAGTAGCACATCTCTAGATGAAAGATGACAAGAAAAAAAGTTTATTAAAGGATGTACCTTTCTTGCCAACACGTTGCTCTAAATTTCAGATGAGGAAGTCGCAGTTTACCATTTTTAGGTTGTTTGCAGGTTTAAAAAAAAACAAAAAAAACAACAACTGGGAAACCTTAGTGTGTACAGGTGTGTTATTGGTGAGTTTGGTATTTGCGGGCATGTCATCCTTGCAAACTCCAAAATGTTCTCTGCTGTTCACATCTCCAGACAGACATTGGCTCCAGGCGTTGCTCAAATGAAGCTCTAAAACGATCTTCCTCTAATCGCTTGTTGATGTTTTCTGTTTTCAGTCAGCTGCGCTTCAGAAGAAACTTCACCATCTGGAGCTTCAGATGAATAAAGATAAACATGTCAAAGATGAACTAGAGAACAAATGCAGGTGCAAGATCAGCAAATGCAAATATGTCGCCACTGTGGTGTGCAAACTGCTGAAACCTTGACTCATGTTTTATCCATGTATTTCTCTGCAGAGCTGCAACCGTCCGCTTAGAAAAAATAACCAAAGAACTTGAGGAAGAGGTGCGTGTCTGGAATCAAAGGATTTATATGATGTTTTAGATCAGAATCGAAGAGATCCCAGCTTTCTTTCCTTTTCTGATTGACTTTTAGGTGAGCAGCAGAAAGAGCCTGGAATCAAATCTGAGGCAGCTGGAGCGAGAGAAGGCCCTGCTGCAGCACAAAAGTCTGGAGAGCCACCGGAAGGCCGAGAACGAGGCCGACAGGAAGCGCTGCCTGGAGAACGAAGGTACAAGACTCTCTTTGCAGATCCGGGTTCTGACAGCAGTGTTATGAAATCACTTGCATACTAATCATTCCTGTTTTCACTCCTTAATCTGCTCCTTGTTGCTGCTGAGTGAAAAACAAAGCGATCGTTACCATTGATAGATGTAAATGAATCAGAAGATGAGATATGCAACGCTGCCCCCACCTGGTCAAATTATAAAAGTGTTTCCTAAACGCTAAAACACGAAGACCCCTTTTGTTTTGTGTCTTTTTCTGGTTTGCATATTTACAGTTTTTGCACTGATGACTGCAGCTTAACTTATCCCTGCTTCACTTTTGTTTTTGTGCAGTCAACAGCCTTCGAGACCAGCTGGACGACATGAAGAAAAGAAATCAAAACTCGCATATTTCCAACGAGAAGAACCTTCACCTGCAGAAACAGGTTTTTTTCCCCCCAACTTTATTAATTTACTTTTGTAATCTTCTTTTAGCATGGTGAAGCTGGCAAGCATCTTTGCAGACTTACTATAATTTTTGCTACACATATTTAGATATATACTTGATCGATGCAACAATTTTCCTTGCAGAAACATCTGTTTAAAGCTTAAAACTGTCGTTTGAAGAAATCTGCTACAAGATCACTGAGAATGCTTTGTGAGCATCCAGACTCGCCTCAAGTGTAATAAAATAGCAGGAAGACATGAATGCACTTCCACATTGATACAACCTTTAAAACCAAAGCTGTAAACTACATGCTTTCTCAGCTGCATTCATTCCACATTGGGTCCATTCTTCATCTTCTGACCATTTCATTCTGGAGCACCTGTAGGTCAAAGTTATTTTCTCTCCAGCCAAAAACAACCTGCTGCTAATGAGATCCAACAGAGCATCTACGTTGTTTTCAAATAATTCTCCAACTCGTCCACAGTTAATAAAGTAGCATTTTAAAACATGCAAATTCACAAAGCAATGTAATTATCCAGTGGGGTATTTTTTTGGCATAATTTGCATATGCTTTCTGCAGCTTACTTTTGCACCACATTCACCACACATATTCAGTTAAATGAAAGCAGATTCAAACATGTCCATTAAATCGAGCAGATGGGAACGATCCACATCTATTTGTTGGGTGCAGTCGCCGTTTTACAAACTCAGCAGATGTGGAAATAATTAGAGATAAAAATAGTTCCGTGCGGACAACACCAAAGTCCTCAGAAGATCAGGGAACCTTCAGGAGACATTTATAAAAATAATTGACGTGAACATTTTTAAAGTGCCGCTTCTGGTTGTAAAATATGAAGGAATTATATTAATCCCTTTAAAAAAACGAAATTGAAACATGAAAATGTGTTGACTTATAGTTCAAAATGTTTGTTTACAAAGTTATTATATAACAATATACATGCTTCATCCATTATTTGTGGCTCTTGACCACGATTATATTAGGTTTTAATGTTTATTTTTTGTTTATGATAAGGAAAAGTCTTTAATTCCTGCTGGCTCTGTTCTCACAACCTAAGAAAAAAATGACTAAGGAGTTGACATTTTAAAAAGAGCGACTTTACTCAATTATTTTCTGCTGAAAGTTTTGTGCGCTCTCAAAACATCCCTAAGCTACATATTATATAAATTAGGGTGACGGTAAATTAAATGAATACTTTTTTTTCACCAGATTTTAAACATTTGGTAAAAGCTGACGCTGACGTCTTTCGGTTTATTTGCCCGTTCTCTTTTCACTCGTTAAAACCTCGTAACGGATGATTTCGCAGCTGGAAGAAGCCAACACGCTGCTGCGGGCCGAGACAGAAGCGGCGACGAGGCTCCGCAAAGCTCAGACGGAGAGCAGCAAGCAGCTGCAGCAGCTGGAGGCCAACGTGCGCGAGCTGCAGGATAAATGCTGCCTGCTGGAGCGCAGCAAGCTGAGCCTGGAGAAGGAGTGCATCAGCCTGCAGGCGGCGCTGGAGTCAGAGAGGCGGGAGCACAGCCAAGGCTCAGAGACCATCACTGACCTGATGGGTAGGGGAAACACAAACGCAGCACTTCCTGAAAGGCTGCTGGTAGACTTCCATACTTATTGTTCCCCCATGAATTTGGCAGTGCAGCAACACTTAGTATTTATCTGGATGCCGTACTTCAGGTTTTGTGAAGGACTTTGGGTGCCTTTTCTATAATTTTCAGATGGTTTTTCGGTGAAATAGTGCCCTCTGACAGTTTATTTTGCACGTTGCAGGACGTATTTCTGGGCTGGAGGAAGAAGCTCGCCAGCAGAGACAGGCTCTGGCCAAAGCTGAGACTGAGAAGAGGCAGCTTCAGGAGAAATACACTGACCAGGAGAAGGTATACAAAATTCATCTCTCCACTACTTTAAATATGAGCATTACAAAGTCTTAGAAAGTTTTTGCTTTTGCGTTTCCCTCTGTAAATCTGTTTTGTTGGAGTCGCCGCGTCTTTCTGCTCGCTTTTCTGTCAGACGGATATATTTTCCTGTTGCCGTTTTGTGGTTTGTGTCTCCTTTCAAATCAGAACGCCTTCTGCCTGTTTTTCTTTGTGCAGGAGATGAGCAACAAAGAGATAGAGCTGACCTACAAACTAAAGGTTCTGCAGCAAGAGCTGGAGCAGGAGGAGGCCTCGCATAAAGCCACCAGAGGTCTGCTGGCAGACAAGAGCAAGATTAAAGTGACCATCGAGGGCGCCAAGTCCGAGTCCATGAAGGGTAAGGTCTGCTTTACACGGTCAGTCGGATCTTAAAGCAACGCTTGAGGCTTTTTCCTGGACGCTCAAATCAGATCAAACCAAGCTGTTTCAGAAAAGGCAGATTTATGATTCCGAGATACTTGATCTTTATTTGCAACACGGTCCAACAAAAGAGAAAGTTGGATGAAATTAAGTGCAAGTAAAGATGGAAATCTAATACAACGTAAGCAAAAATGAAATTCTGGGCAAGAATCCATAACTGGGATTCAGGGCAGAAT